AGATACTACAGTCCTGCCTGCTTGGCCTTGGAAAAACTCTGTTTCATCCTCACTTCACTGCCTAGTAAGGCAATTGTCTTCCCAAAAGCCATGGGTAGCAAAGACTGCTAGTTGTGTGTACCACTGGGACTCACTACTCTTCCTCATGTGAATCACCTGAGATATTGAAGATGTTCACATACCCTTGTCTTGGAAATTCACTTTTAATGAATTTTTCCTTACCGTGAGTACTCGCAGTTGGATGCGCAGAAGTCCCCCATAAAGCTGTGCGAATCTTGCTGCAGCCGTATCACGCCTTCCACTTACCACGACTGCAGCTAAACTCCACAATTCCTGCGCCTCCAACTGGTTTAGCTATCTCGAGATGTGGGGAAATGGAGCTCCAGTTACCTAGGAATGATCACACGACACTCTCAGGTTGCTGTTGGAATTCACATAGAGAATGTTTTCATTCTCAGCCTCTGGTTTTATTACAAACACACACACGCCCCCCCCCCCGCCACGCAGGGGGGGGGGTCAGGTCAATCTCCTCCCACAGAACAATGCAATGGGGAGTGTCTATACACAGAATGTACATCCTGATTGGAGCATAGCCTTTCCTTTTATCTATAGTGGAAACCCGTTCTCCCCTTTCCCATGGTGAGCTCTCTGTGGAGAGCAGGCTTCCCATCCTATCAGCTCCTACTAGTATGTCCATTCTCTGTACAAGCATCCTCTAGATTAAACAGTGTCAGTCTGTATCTGAATGGGCCCGATACAATCTTTATTAAAACATATCCATCCAGATACAGTTCAGGTCGGTAATGGCTTGTAAGATATACATGAGCCTACACACGGAGTTCGCACTGCTTGGCGCCTGGCGGTACGAAGTCCATGTGGTACTATGCTGCTGATATGTGGATACAGGCCCGCGGCCTACCACCGGCAGCATTCGCATCGAATGCCGTGGTGGTATACACGCTGGTCTATAAGCGCAGATCTGCCATCTCATCCATTACCGAGCTGAGTACTGTAATACATACATTGTACATGCGCATGGCCCAATTGCAGCCTTCAGAGCTTTAATTAAGCCACATGAGAGACATATGAATAACACTAATATATGACACATTTAAAGCTGTAAATACAAAATTTCCATGACACCCTTGACACCTTCCTTCTTTACCTCTGTTCAGTGAAAACAGAAACACTGAACAGATAGCACTTAAACTTACCAGCAAGGTAGAAGCCATGATCACCTTAATCTCCACAACAATTACAAATGTTGCCTCTTCTTAACAAACGATACCAAAAGGCTACTAATTCAACCTTTGGTTATTTCCCAGATGGAGTGTCAGGGTCCTGTCCATGACAGGAATTCTGGAAGATCTGGCATTTCTGCCAATACTCTACATGGCCGCCGAAGTACACATCAGCCTCATTCTGGTGCCAGACGGCCTTTATAAGGAGGCTCATCACTTCCTCTGGTTGCTGGATGATCTCTAGCTCCCCGTGTCTTCTTCCTGTTTCCTGTGACCTGTGACTTTCTGATACCGACTCAGCTTGCACTTGGACCTGTCTGCTCTACTGAACCCCTGATCTGACCTCGGCTTGGCTAAAGGATACTCTCTCGCTCCTCTGTGTATGACCTTGGCTATCCCATCTGACCACATCTGCTCTGATTCCCACCTGGTACCTTGGCTTGAAGCGGTTATCCAGTAAATCTCTAATTCCGGAAGGGCTTGCATACCACGCACAGGCGCCACCAGTCTGCACTGCAGACCTGTTTCCGTACACCAGCTGTGCTCCTGAGAGGACCACCAACCAGCACTTCTACAGGCGACCTGTGCCACTTTGGGCCTGACTCCCGCTGTCCCACTTTCAGGGGAGTCTGGAACTTAGCTGCAAGGGAAGTCCTCTCTCCACTGGCCTCCACCACCAGGTACGTGATATGGAGCAATACAACTTCTTTCTCATTGACCAGTTTCTTCACAGGCTATCCCTCCTTTCAGCTAACTCATGAATGATGCTGCCAGACACATCCAAATGGTCAGCATTTCTGCCTGGCAGTACTAGAGTTGTTGATTCATATCCCAACCACGGCACCACCTGCCTGGAATTTGCATGTTCACCCTGTGCCTGCGTGAGTTTCCTCCGGGTGCTCCGGTTTGCTCTCACACTCCAAAGACCTGCTGGTCGATTAATTGGCTCCTGTCTTAATTGGCCCTAGTATGTGTATAAATGTGAGTTAGGGACCTTAGATTGTACGCCCCTTCAGGATTAGGGACTGATGTGAATGTACAATATATATGTAAAGCGCAGCATAAATTGACAGTGCTATATAAGTACATGAAATTAGTAATAAATAAACAATACAGTTCAATACAAGAGGGATAGGAGGGCCTGTTCCTTGGAGCTTACAATCTAAGAGGGAGGTGCTAGTGGTACAAAAGATAGTAACTGTGGGGGATGGACTGGTAGGAGGAGTAGAAGGTTCCATTATTAGCTGAGGGCAGGATAGGCTTCCCTGAAGAGAGAGGTTTTCAGAGATTGCCTAAAAGTGGCAGCGTAAGCGATAGTCTGATAAATTGGGGTAGAGAGTTCCAGAGGATTGGAGAAGTCCTGGAGATGAGCATGGGAGGAGGAGACAAGAGAGCTAGAGAGTAGGAGGTTGTGTGAGGAGCAGAGAATACGGTTTGGGTGACACCGGTCAAGGAGATCAGTAGATCGCTGCAATTATTATTATACAGGATTTATTATTATACAGGATTTATTATTATTATTATTATTCAGGATTTATTATTATTATTATTATTATACAGGATTTATTATTATTATTATTATTATTATTATTATTCAGGATTTATTATTATTATTATTATTATTATTATTATACAGGATTTATTATTATTTTTATTATTATTATTATTCAGGATTTATTATTATATTATTATTATTATTATTATTAATATTATAATTCAGGATTTATTATTATTATTATTATTATTATTATTATTATTATTATTATTATACAGGATTTATATATTATTATTATACAGGATTTATGGCGCCAACAGTTTGCTCAGCGCTTTACAATATAACGGGAGACAATACAGTTTAATACAAGAGAGATAGGAGGGCCCTGCTCCTTGGAGCTTACAATCTAGCAATCCTCAGAGAAATAGGAGAAAACTTTTGAATATATGTTATTTTTTTGTTTGTTTGTTTTTGTTTTTGTGTTTAGATACACTTTATGTTAGTCCATAAGAAAAAAAATTAATTTTAGCAGCCGAAATGTTTTTGGTGGACTGGCCCATAAAGAAAACCCTACTGTCAGATCTTCCATACAAAGCTGGCCACCATTCCAGGAGCACCGTTGGTTATGTCACTAATTCGCCTGCGGGCTAAGCCAATCTTCAATATATTATTCAAAGCCCAGAATATCTGGAAAAAATGTAATTTTATTACACGTTCTGCCTGGGACCTCCATCTATCACCCAGAAGCTCATAGGGAGGCAAAAGATTCAGGTAGAAGCTCATTATACGCCTATAAATCATGCAGTCATTGCTGGGCTTGTAAAGCAAATATTTACTTTGCCCTTCCTCCTCTGTGTGAGTCTCCCAGGAACGGTCAGACCGGTTTATGGTGAAATCCTCCATTTCACTTAACCCTGTCCAATCTGCGGACAGAGGCTAATTACCGTGATTGATGGCCCAGCCGTCCACTCGCTACTCCTGAACACACTTTCCTTTCCTGTCATAAATATGGTTCACTGGCTACCGGCTACGATGCGGTGAAACTGATGGCGCCAAGTTAAAAAAATCCGCCGTGCAGAATCGCGAAATGTGAAATATTATGTACGCGCACGTCTCACTTCTCCGTGAACTCCGTGATCGATGCGACCTCCAAGCTGGTTACATCATCAGGATTTAAAAAAAACAATTCATTTATTGGACGGTTGCTATGGCTTTGTCATATCTTTTTTCTTTTTCCTGTCTGTGCGTTCTTGAAATACATAACTTGACTCAGGTTTACAGTGTCTGAGTTATGATTCTGCAGGAAAAAAAAAGTATTTCTTGCCATAAATTTCTTTTGCTAAAATGTCCGGATTGAAATAGGAACCTTGAGAAGAAAAAGTCAATGTTAAAGAATCTTCTGTTGAGACTGACTTAGGACAAACATATAGTAAGTAAATGATGGCCAGGGGCGGACTGACAACTCATGGGGCCCCCGGGCAATAGGGGATCATGGGGCCCCTGTGTCCTTGCCCAAACTCAAAAAAGCCTATGAAAAAGGTACCAGAGACCAGGGGCGGACTGACCATTCGAGCACTCGGGCACTGCCCGAGGGCCTGGGGTCAGTAGGGGGCCCCATAAATTGCCCCTGGTACCTTTTATAGGCTTTTATGGATGTGTTTTGAGTGTGGGCAAGGACACAGGGGCCCCATGATCCCCAATTGCCCGGTGGCCCCATGAGTTGTCAGTCTGCCCCTGCCAGGGGCATCTCATGGGGCCCCCTACTGACCCCGGGCCCTCAAGCAGTGCCCGAGTTTCCAAATGGTCAGTCCGCCCCTGATGATGGCTTTGTTCTGGTCAGCAGAGGACTGGGCAGGGGGGCGATTGCCCCCTGGGTCAGTGCTAATTTATTATTTATTTCAGGTACTTATATAGCGCCGTCAATTTACGCAGCGCTCTACATATATATTGTACATTCACATCAGTCCCTAACCCTCAAGGGGCGTACAATCTAAGGTCCCTAACTCACATTCATACATACACATACTAGGGACAATTTAGACAGGAGCCAATTCACCTACCAGCATGTCTTTGGGGTGTGGGAGAAAACTGGAGTGGAAACCCATGCAGGCACAGGGAGAACATGCAAACTCCAGGCAGGTGGCGCCATGGTTGGGATTTGAACCAACGACCCTAGTACTGCCAGGTGGAAGTGCTAACCATTTAGCTACTGTGCTAATAAAATATGTTGATCAACAAAAGAACCCTCAAAGTGATTCAGTAGTGCAAATATATATATATATATATATATATATATATATATATATATATATATATATATATATATATATATATATATTGTGACAGTGTGGCAATCTGTCACGATATAAAAAGGACATTTCACCTGGGATTCTCAGCAAGGCAGGTTGAGGGGCTCCAGGGTACTTGTTTGATGCAGAGGAAAGTGGCTTTTCACTTTCCTCATTTGTTCGTAAAGTCCATTTTGGGACCTGGAGCCTGGAGATTTCAAAGTGATTTGGGAGGGATGAAATCTCCAATCCTGGGACCAGGTTTTGGGAATGGCCAGGACACTGATTGCACATGTGTGTGCAGGCCATTTTGTAGAGGCCTAACCATGTTTCTGGGCTCCACTCTGGAAGACAGGAGGTCACTGCCTTGGAGTCAGGAGAGCTTCACCAAGGAGAGGTGGAAGCCAGAGTAGCTGTGTGCTAGTGGCTAGCTGTGTGCGAAACAACAATTTGGAAAAGAGTCTGCAGGAGACAGACGTAAGCCTGAAGTGGAAGGCCAGAAGAGGATTGTATGTATAAGCCAAGAGGCTAAAAGTCGGTTTTGGAAGAATGATATGCTGAAAACCCCTGTGAGGGAAATTGTTTGCTTTGGATTTATGGAACTTTTTCCTTTGAATAAAAGTGGGCTAAAATGGCCCTTAACCCCTTCACGCCGGATCGTCCCGGTGTGAAGAGGAGTTCCTGCGCCGGTCACATGATCGGGAAAGGTCCCGATCACAAGAGGAGACCGGGACCTTTCAGTGAGTACCCTACATGTGTGCTGGGAGCACGCAGGGCGCGTGCTCTCAGCACATATGTATTTTGTATATTGAACGCAAATGTGCGGCCGCACGGCGTCTAGGCCCAGACGCCAGGAGGCCACACATTTGCGTGCGGGCCGGCATGAAGGGGTTAAAAAGAAAGTGAGTTGCTGTGTTCTTTAAAAAGCTCTACCACTTGATGCGAGTTCCCTCAATATACATATGAATGTGAATAAATAAGTAAGTGATCATTCACCAAAAAGTGAAAAATAAAATAAAAAAGTCCATAAAATATATCTTTTCCACCAAATGAATCTTCTAATTCCCAAAAAGAAATCACCACGTGCAAAAGGATGGCGTCCCCCCACGTGGTGATTTCTTTTTGGGAAATAGAAAATTCATTTGGTGGAAAAGACATTTTATGGACTTTTTTATTTTATTTTTCACTTATGTTGAATGATCACTTATTTATTTATTCGCATGTATACATATTTTTTTTTCGCTACTCAATCACTTTCAGGGTTCTTTTGTTGATCATAATAATTTGTTTAGAAGTGGCAGTATTGTTTACCAGAAATTATCACTATTTATTTATTTTATTTATGATTTGGATTTCATCAGGCATCTAGTGCAAACGTTTTTTGTTTAAATAAAATATGTTGGACCGGTGGCCCTAAGATGAGATGCTACTTCATAAAGACGATGACTGACGTGCTGAAATTTACAGTATGGTAGGTCAGTCTGCCACCTTTGTTTTAGAAAAATAAAGGACAGGGGCTGGAGATGGTCAGGTCAATCATGGGCACAAACTTACTTTGCTCTGGGTTAAGTGTACACAATGCACAGAGTGCAGAGGACAGGAGTTCATAATGCACAGAGTGCGGAGGACAGGAGTTCATAATGCACAGAGTGCAGAGGACAGGAGTTCATAATGCACAGAGTGCAGAGGACAGGAGTTCATAATGCACAGAGTGCAGAGGACAGGAGTTCATAATGCACAGAGTGCAGAGGACAGGGGTTCATAATGCACAGAGTGCAGAGGACAGGGGTTCATAATGCACAGAGTGCAGAGGACAGGAGTTCATAATGCACAGAGTGCGGAGGACAGGAGTTCATAATGCACAGAGTGCGGAGGACAGGAGTTCATAATGCACAGAGTGCGGAGGACAGGAGTTCATAATGCACAGAGTGCGGAGGACAGGAGTTCATAATGCACAGAGTGCGGAGGACAGGAGTTCATAATGCACAGAGTGCGGAGGACAGGAGTTCATAATGCACAGAGTGCGGAGGACAGGGGTTCATAATGCACAGAGTGCGGAGGACAGGAGTTCATAATGCACAGAGTGCGGAGGACAGGGGTTCATAATGCACAGAGTGCGGAGGACAGGAGTTCATAATGCACAGAGTGCAGAGGACAGGAGTTCATAATGCACAGAGTGCAGAGGACAGGGGTTCATAATGCACAGTGTGCAGAGGACAGGAGTTCATAATGCACAGAGTGCAGAGGACAGGGGTTCATAATGCACAGAGTGCAGAGTACAGGAGTTCATAATGCACAGTGTGCAGAGGACAGGAGTTCATAATGCACAGTGTGCGGAGGACAGGAGTTCATAATGCACAGAGTGCGGAGGACAGGAGTTCATAATGCACAGTGTGCGGAGGACAGGAGTTCATAATGCACAGTGTGCAGAGGACAGGAGTTCATAATGCACAGAGTGCAGAGGACAGGAGTTCATAATGCACAGGGATCAGGAGTACACAAGACACAGAGTGCAGGGGTCAAAAGTGTGTAATGCACAAAGTTCAGGGGTCAGTAATGCATTATGCAAAGAGTGCTGGGGTTAGGAATAAGTATTGTGCAGAGTGCATTGGTGTACGGGTTAAAAGTGTGTAATGCACAAAGTTATTATTATTATTATACAGGATTTATTATTATTATTATTCTTATTATACAGGATTTATATGGCGCCAACAGTTTGCTCAGCGCTTTACAATATAAAGGGAGACAATACAGCAACAATATACTTCAATACAAGAGGGTTAGGAGGGCCTGATCCTGGGAGCTTACAATCAAAGAGGGAGGGGCTAGTGGTACAAAAGGTAATAACTGTGGGGGATGGACTGGTAGGAGGAGTAGAAGATTCTGTTATTAGCTGAAGGTAGTGTAGCAGGCTCCTTGTACAAGAGGATTCAGAAGATCCTTCCCCTCCCTCCCCTATTTGTAAAATCTGGGCATTCTGCCAAGTTCATGATTCATCCACTCAGCAAAGGAGGATGGGGGGGGGGGGGGGAAGCAGGAAGTGAAGGGGGAGAACAGAGAGACACGAGGCTGGAGAAAAGACAGGGACATGTGGAGCCCGTCCAAGCAGAGGAGGAGGCACTACAGCACCCAGTGCGGATAGAGGGACCCTGCTGTGTGTTCAGAGTCTGGTGAGCTGTCCCCCTGGAGAGAGTAAGACACACCATTCACACTTTGCATATAGACTGGGACATCCGCACCCCACTGCTGGGATCTCACCCATCCGGGGCCCTGTGCAAGCCACAGATCCCCCTGCCTGCTTTGCCCCTCACCACCAGTGTAATTGAGACTGTCTGCCCCGGGGACTGACACATACTGGGAGATTGCATCCGGCGACTGCCCCTGGTCTTGGGGTGCTTTGTGTTGCTTCTAGACACTGAGGTTGGACCCTCTCAGCCCAGAAACCTAGTGAAATCTGATGTAACCCACACCAGCTGAAACTCCAAATAAGCCTTCAGCTGCTATTTACTTCAAGGACTAAACGTGCACCAACTAGAGCTCCACCGTTACAAGGACTAGAGTGGGGGAATCTGGCTTAGTAGCCTTATTAGAGGTACCTCTTTATTGCATTCTGTCCTGACTCTGAGGTGATTTTTGGCTAACGCCCCTCAGAAGCAGAATCATACACCGGTGTGGGTAATACATTTCATTGATAGAGTATAAGTAAGTTTATTTGTTTGATATCAGTTGTATTCTGCTTAAAGTGCGACTCTGCCACCCGGAGATTTCTGGCTGTGAAGCCCTCTAGTGGCAGACCAAAGTTACTGCATTGCATAAAAGAAGAAAAGTAAGTTTTGGAAGTTGAAAGGGGAACCCCACCCCTCTACACTGCATTTCATTCTCCATAAAATTGTTCTTGTTTCATTTAACCCTGTGTCAGCAAATTTCTTGGTGGGATATTTGCTATTCATTACCAGTTGTGCCAGAGGGATTGGGTTTGCTTAGGGTTGGATCTATTGAGCGCAGGACCCATAATATATTCCAGCTTGTCCCAAGGGGCAGTGCTACAGTAGGATAGGCTTCCCTGAAAAGATCGGTTTTCAGAGATCGCCTAAAAGTGGGCAGAGTAGGTGATAGTCTGATAGATTGGGATAGAGAGTTCCAGAGGATGGGCGAGTCTCCGGAGAAGTCCTGGAGATGACCATGGGAGGAGGAGACAAGGGAGCTAGAGAGCAGGAGGTCGTGCGAGGAGCGGAGAGGGCGGTTTGGGTGATATTTGGAGACAAGATTAGTGATGTAATTTGAGGCAGAGTTATAAATGGCTTTATATGTTATTAATGTTTTGAAATTTATTCAATGGGCAATGGGAAGCCAGTGGAGGGATTGGCAGAGAGGTTAGTAAGGTGGATGAGTTTGGCAGCAGCATTCATTCTAGACTGAAGAAGGGATAGCCTGCGATGAGGTCGGCCAATGAGAAGGGAGTTACAATAGTCAAGTTATGGGGTCAGGAGTGTATATTGCACAATGTTCAGGGGTCAAGAGTAAGTAATGCACAGAGTGCAGGAGCCTGGAGGAAGTAACAGAGTGCATGGGTGAAGGGTGTGTAAAGCACAAAGTGCAGGGGTCAAGAGTTCATAATGCACAAAGTTTGGGGATCAAGAGCAAGTAACACACAGAGTGCAGGAGTCAGAAGGGAGTAATACACAGAGTGCATGGGTCAGGGGTGTGTAAAGCACAAAGTGCAGAGGTCAGGAGTGTATAATGCACAATGTTGAGTGAGTAACACACAGAGTGCATTGATCGGGTGGGGGGGGGTAAATCACAAAGTGCAAGGGTCAGGAGTGTATAATGCACAATGTTTAGGGGTCAAGAGGAAGTAACGCACATAATGCAGGGGTCAAGAGGAAGTAAGACAGTACATGTGGTGTCAGACATTCTCTCTACTTCCTCCTTCTGGGAACTTTTAAAGTCAGCCTCCCAGAGACAGGGAAAGTAGCAATTCATTATGCTCCCAGTAGAGGAGTAGAAGAATATTCAACTTTCTAAATAATTATTCTACATGCCCCTTTTTACTAAACCTAAAGGTGCCAATAATAAGGAGATAACAGCCTCCTAATCTTTTCCACACCTCTTTCCATTCCCTTGTTCAAACAGTTTATCAATTTTCAAGTCTGTAACAATAGTAGAGCATTTAAAAGGCATTCACGAAAGAGAAAGTCAGTTGGACAGGAGGCCAGATGAAAATGTCATCCAAGTACAAACAACAAGGAACTGTAGCTAGACATGAAAAGATATTGCAATGCAGAGAGCGACAAACCATAGTTATATA